ACAGAAAAAGGTGTTTGTTAGGGTAAGTAGGTTAGAAGGACGAGGCTGGGACGACACAGGCCGGTGCTGGAGCCTCTGCTCTGTAACCCAGGGGGAGCTTGAGGCCTGTGAAGTTATGCCGAGGGTGGAAGGCATAACCAGATCGTCCGACGTAGTTGGCGCCGGGGTATTGACCCTGTAACCTGCTTAGGGGCTCGCCGTTATGGAAATTGTCGAGGGAGGAAGGCACTTCCTGTCCGTCAGAGTTAGGTTGATCGGTACTGGGGAGGGTTGTGGTGCCCTGTTACCCTAGCAGAAGGGGGTATGAGATCAAGCGAGTTCTGGTACGAGGACTGAAAGCCTGGACCGACACCCCATCTGTTGGAAGGGGGAATCTAGGATAGTAGGCAGTTTTAGTCTCGCCCCCCCCCGCTCTTATATTTTTCTAAAGCTTTTTGAATGTTCCAAAAAGAGTTGGGTACTTAGTGGTCCTAGGAATGTTTTTTCGGACTCTGGGATCCCTACTAACTCGTCTTAGGTGGCTTCAATGCTGTTATACTCAGTGAGCTGCGGCTGTACGATGCCAGAACGACGCTGACCGGTGATGGGGTGTTGCCCTGTAACCTGTGATGCAGGAGCGTGAGGTCTGGTAAAGAGATCTGGGGAAGTCTTGGGGTGGGCTTTCCACGGGACAACCAAGGGTTGCTGCCGGGACGACGCTGGTCGGAGCTGGGGTGAGTTGCGTTGCCCTGTAACCCTGCGGAAAGTGGGGGTGTGAGACCTAGAAGAGATCGGCAGGGAGTAGGACAGGTTTGGAGAACGTTGGAAGGGTTGGTGTGGGATTTTGAGGTTTTTGGAACAATCGTAGGACCTCTTCTTAGGTACCTCAAAAAGAGAATAAGGTGAGTGGGGGAAAATGGTGGGTGATCACGCGTCCTACCAGTGAGGGGGCTAGCTGGTAGGATGGGAGCATGGCATAGAAGCAGCAGAGATGGTGGCTCCGCTGCAGTCAGTCTTGCCGGAGTGAGGTAAAGTGGATTGATGGGGGTTCTTCGGAGTCGCTTCTGAATTTTGCTTAATCATGAAGTTGTCGTAGACATGTCTGAAGTAGCTCCAATTTCTCCGAGCCAAAGCCGGGTAATGGCCCCGGTATCTCAATTTTCAAAATTTCATCCTTAGGCCAATTAGATTTTTCTAGTAGTTCCTTGTCTCATTTTCATGGAATTTTCTGATGAGTTTTTTGAACGTACTCGTTATGGGACGCTGGGCCCGGTTCCCAGTTTGTGCCAATTCGTGAGGATATGGTTGTATCTATGGGACGCTGGACCCGGTTTCCAGCAGGTGCTGCTCCCCACCAATAGATGGAGCTTGGTTTAAAAAAAAAAAGAAAAAAAAAAAGAAAAGGTCTTCTTACAGGTGGGCTGATCTGCTTTCAGGCATGCAGAATGTTTCTCCATACTGAAGATTTCGGCCTTCTTTCTGAAAGGAGGGGATAAAAAGGCAGAGCCACACTTGGGAAGGGTTAGACAAGTGCAAGTCTTGCGCCAGGATGAACTCTCCTAATCTAACCCACAATTTGTCCCTGTTCCCAAACACCGCCGACACGACCCATTTACCTAACAATCCCAGATTCTGTTGTACGGGGTCCAGAATCCCCAGACCACCTTGGTCCCTGGGTGCCGAAATTAAATCCCAGGCTGCCTTCACCAGGTATCCTTGCTGTTCAATTGCTGCTGGCTTCCAGAGATATCCGGCGGCGCTCCTTTTAATATTTGCATAAGCGTCCTCCCCTAGGAGCTGTAGTGGAAACCACAGGAGGGATAACGCTGCTGAGGTGAGGACGAGGGCTCTGCCAAATAGTGAGAGTTTGTGATTCCGTTCCCATCTTGCAATTCTTGAGGTAATCTTCTCCACCAGCATAGAGTCCTGCACATCAGCACAATCTGACAGGGAGACTTGTACTCCCGCAAATCTCTCTGTCCAATTAGCCGGTATCCGCCTCGAGCCCCAATCAACACACAATACTTTCGGGGGGGGGAGGAGATAAACTGATTTATCCCAATTTATAGAAGCCTCTGACAGCTCACAATAATTATCTAACACTTGTCTTAGATCTGTTAGTGCCTCCGTTGTGTTTTCACATGCCACTGTTAAGTCATCCGCGATTGCTCCTCCTTTCCATTGTAGTTGAGGAGTGACTTTCAACCCTGTTATTAAATTATTTCCCCTAATGTTCTCTAATAAGACTTCTAACTGGATAACGAAAAGGAGGGGGGGCAGTGGGCAACCCTGCCTCAGCTGAGCATTTCTTGATGCCTCTCTCTCGTCAAGGACAGACTGATTCTTGATCCGATTCTTATCCTTTCGTTTACTTCCATATTCATTCCACCCACCACGTTGATGAAGTTGAGCATGAGCTGCCTGCATCCCCGTGTGCCATAACGAGCCGCTTGTACATTGTGAGAAAGAGGTAGAGCAAAGGGGGAGGGTATAAACACAGAGAAGAGAGGGAGAGAACTCAAACAACTGTGTCTTTTTAACGGGGAACTGGAGAATTAAACTCCCCTTGAATCCCGTTAAATTCGAAAAAATCCTGTTGAATTCCCGTTAAACGCAAAAATGGGCCGCTCCTGAGCTTTTCGGAAAAACGGAATTGATGCGCGGGATCCGAAACACGTGGCCCTAGGCAAAAAAATAAAAAATAAAATAAATAAATAAATATTTAAAATAAATAAATAAATAAATAAATTCCCCCAAGCCCTGAAGCACCTCTTATACCACCAAATTAGACCAACACCGACCGGCCTGCCACCCGCCACTCACCAACCCCCGGCACCAGTCCCCAAACCTACCCAGAAGCCCTCTAAGCCATCCGCCCCCACATCCCCCAACCCCCAACGCCCCAGTTATGTGTGTGTAGGTGTGCTGTGTGTGCGCGTATGTGTGTATGTGTGTGCCTGCGCGTGAGAGTGTGTCTGTGCATGAATATGTATGTATGCGCGTGTGTTTGTGTATGTGTGTGTTTGTGTGTGTGTGTGTGTGTGTGTGTGTGTGTGTGTGTGTGTGTGTGTGTGTGTGTGTGTGTGTGTGTGCATGATTGTTGGCGTGTGTCCATTGTTTCCCTTTTGAGGGATAGAGTTTTTTCCCGTTGAAAACTGGGGGCGGGCGATATGGGTTTGGGCGGGTGATTTGGGTCTGTTTTTTTTTGTTTTTTTTTCTCTTCTACTGCATCTTCCCAGAAATACAGTATCCAAGCATTCTCCTGTTTGTTACCAAGTAACGAAATCTAGAACTACCTGCCCTGCCTCGTTGGCAGGGCTTTGCTAAGAAAAGAAAAGAAAAGAAAAATGTACTTACCTTTGCCACGAGAGTTGTGGACTCCAGTCTAACCAAATGTGCAAAATGAGCATGAATCTGGTAGAACATAGGTAGATATACTGCTAGTAGTTTAGAGCTCGAAATGCCATTTTTCCTGACCGCGTGAGTAGCTTGCTATTCGTTTTTCAGGTTTTTTTTTTTCCCCCTTTTTCCCCTCTTGCGATCCAAGAATCTGGGCTCCGTCCAGCGGCCTAGCTCAGTTGGTTAGGCACAGAAGTGGCATTCAGGAGGTTGTGGGTTCAATCCCCGCCGAGCTATAAGTTCTGGCAAGGACCTCCTTTCATCATATGTGGTTCAGCTCGTTGGGTATCATTATCACATGACCTACTCCGCCAAATGCTCCAGCTACGGGGGGTCACATAAGTGAACTTGCTTACTCGATCCCTACCTGTGGAAGCCGCAGTTGCCTGAATATGTCAATAATAACCCCTTGCCCCCCTCTGGAAGCCCCCTGAAAAATATTGCACCTTCAAAATTTCATTGCGGATTCCGACAGCTCTCGAAGAGCACAGTCTGAATCTGCCCAAAAAAAGGGCACTTTTTTTTTTCAAAACCGGTTTGCCGGTTCAACCCCCTTGGGCTGGTCCGGCTCCAGTTGGACCGGGGTAACTCAACCGGCCGGTTGCGGGCCCAGCACTGTTTTATATATATATATCGTCAATATATCGTCACAAACAGAATATATATATCGTCAAATATATATATATATATTGTCACTGTTATATATCGTCAAATAGAACTGCCCGGTAAACCGTAGGCAGAGAGGGAGTATATATATATATATATATATTGTCACAGAACTATTGACAAAGAGCATGAGCACATTCAGGGGGCTTCCGGAGGGGGGCAAGGGGTTATTATTGACATATTCAGGCAACTGTGGCTTCCACGGGGAGGGATCGAGTAAGCAAGTTCACTTATGTGACCCCCCCGTGGCTGGAGCATTTGGTGGAGTAGGTCATGTGATAATGATACCCCACGAGCTGAACCACATATGATGAAAGGAGGTCCTTGCCAGAACTTATAGCTCTTATATATATATATATATCGTCACAAACAGAACTGCCCGGTAAACCGTAGGCAGAGAGAGAGAAGAGGACAACTAACGAGGGGCTGTGACAAACTGTTTCGTCGGAGTTTCACCGACTCATCAGGAGTATATATATATATATATATATCTTGCAGAGCAAACTGCCAGTAAACTGTAGCCAGAGAGGGGGATATACATATATTTGACAATGTATCATATATATGATCATACGATTGATATGTATAAGAAAAACACTTCTTTCTTTCTGTGTTTTCGTTTTCAATGAGAAAAAAGGCAGCGACAGAAAGATATCTCAGAAAAACATAAAAGGAGAAGTGCAAAAGATGCCTGGGGTTCTCATTTCTCAGGCCCATAGCATGCCATACCACTCGCACAATTGTTCAGGATTTTGAATAGCGAAAATGAAAATTGCCTCTTCCATCCACATGTTGCGGGAACACGAAGGTCGGAGAGTGAGGGAGGAGGGGTGGGGAGGCAAAAAGGGACAGAAAGCAAACCGTAGACAAGGACGATAACGAAGTGGCGGCCGGTCTGCAGCCCTGATGGAAAATCCGCCGAAATACGCTCCGTTAAGCAAATACAGTTGTTTAAACTTGTTTTAAGTTCTTTACTTTTAATCCGCCAAATTTTATGGCCTTATTCCCTCACAACCCCACTCCGCAGCGCCGCAGGGAGCACTGCTACCAGACCCTGCCAAGTCTCTAGATATGGGGTGTTGATTAACCATGATTCCATGGCAGGAGAAGTCATCCATCATGGCTACCAGACCCAGCCAAGTCTTATGCCAAATGGACCACGTCTTGCAAACCCCCACCCGCATGCTACGCAATGTGGCGATTTCAGCAGCTGCTTACTGGGAATCGGCAGGCACCAGAAGCGCAGCAATCAATGCATCCCATCGGAACAGGTGGCCTTCTGACAGCAACTGACCTTTACCAACCAAGGGCGCGTACGCACTTATCTCTGCATCTTCATCTGTTCAGAAAATATTCAGATACTACAGACAGACTATAATATAATAAGCTGAATGTATCTTCCATCTGCTCAGACCATAGCCTTCCACCTGAAGACGTCAGACAGACGATAGTCTTCCACCTGTAGATGTCAGACAATAAATTGCGGTGGATGGATCTTCATCTGCACAAGAGGCCATATACTGAGCTGCCTTCCATCTGCAGCGATCCGACGGGATAATGGTGGCTGGATAGACCTTCATCTGCTCAGACCATATAATGGGCTGTCTTCCACCTGCAGACAGACATACGCAGGGACACGAATGACGGGTAGTCAGCCACAATCGAGTACACAGTGCTACCTTTCTCGTATATGGGGCCGCAGGTCTCCGAAGTCAAATTTGGTCCCGGGTGCTGGTGATGTCAGGCTGTTTCTGCAGAGCGGATCGGCAAGAGCATGAATGGGAGCGCAGCTCTCTGGATGCTTCTTCCGTGCATGCTGCTGATCTGACATGTATGTGGAGGAAAGGGAGGGAAGGAGGGAGGGTAGGCGCTGCCGTGTAGATGAACGCATACGGGTACGCGGAGCGTACAAGTACATGGTATGTGCGCATACGTTGCGGATACATGTCGATGGTGCCAAAACCGATTGACAGCATTAACAAATTGTCAACGAGTACATGCAAATAGCACGAAAAACGGTTGATCACCATGCGTGTTCCAACAGGTAAATCGCCAACGAGAATTTACTGCAGGCAGGCGAAGGAGACACAGCTCATGGCAGCAATAGTGCACATTGTCATTTTAAAATCGATTTCACATAATCGAAGCAGCTGCCAGCCGGCGCCAGGCTATAACGAGGTTTTAATTACAAAGCTTGGCGTAACACATTTTCACAATGCAACCGGAGAAGAAGGCTGTTTGTGAAAACAGCTGGAGATGCAATCCTCACCTGCAATGTCATTTGTGTGATACCCAAGGACTTGAAGATCGCCAGCGTCTTCCTAAGAACTCGTTGCTTGTTCTCTCCTGCGGTCACTTGTACCCTGATTGTTCCTACAGAAACCTTCGGAGTGAAGGACCAAAAGTGTTCTCCATGAAAACCAACCACCCCCTCCACCTGGAGAGTCTGCAAGATTGGCAATTTGCCAAACAGCACACATCAAAAGTCTATGTCATAATTAAATTCTTTAATTTTTAGTATTTTTTACCAGATGCGAGGACTGAGCCCTCACAGGGCCCCGACAGACATGCAATTGTCCTGGGCTGCAGGGGCCCAGCAACCATTGTGCCCGCCCTAAGTGAAGGTGGGCCTGAATATTCACAACAGGCCTAATTTGAAATTTCAACATTTTTCCACTAGACAACCTGTTGCGGCTTCGCTCGCAAAAACAGATATGATGGGTAATGCATTCATGGTGGGGACAACTGCCCCATGCAAACTCTCTCTCTCTCTCTCTCTCTCTCTCTCTCATATTCTGATGCACGGGTGCCGATCTCTCTCGCACCTATTTCCATCTTCCTACTTTTCCTTCCCTCGCCCCTCTCCCACATACACAGCTCTGCCTCTCTCTCTCTCGCGCGACTTTAACCCCTCCACCAAGCCGACCTTCCTTCCTCTAATACTTCCCCTTCCCTCTCTCTCTCTCTCTCTCTCTCTCTCTCTCTCTCTCTCTCTCTC